GCTAGGAATTTCAAACAGAATCATCAATATTACAAAATTTTACAATCATCCAAATATTTGGTTTTAGTCGTTAGTTTTAAAACGGGCCCCAGGTGTTCACCCTAAGAAACATTATAGAGCAATGTACAGAGTGGCAAAGACAGCTTATAATAAACTTTATAGATTTTGAAAAAGCCTTTAACAGTATACACAGAAAAAGCTTATGGAAGATCTTAAGCCATTATGGAGTACCTTCAAAGATAGCAGAACTGATCAAAGCTTTTTACTTGGAGTTTAATTGCTCCATTGGTAGCTCATCAGATGCATGCTTCATAGTAAAATCTGGTGTGAGGCAGGGTTGTGTGATGTCAGCTCTCCTTTTTATATTAGCAATAAGACTGGGTAATGAAATCAACCCTTAGTGGAGAAAACACAGGAATAGGACTCTTTTTTACCGGTCTTGAAGACCTAGACTACGCACATGATTTGACCCTTCTGTCACATCTAGAAAAGCATATGCAAAGTAAAACATCAAAATTAAAGAGTAATGCAGAAAAAAATTGGACTGAAGATCAATACCAAGAAAACTGAAGTTATGTCATTAAACACCAAACAACCAGCAAGAATATCCCACTGTGGGACGTGGAGACCTGTCCTTCTGATGACACTGTATAAACCGAGGTCCCGTGTCGCAGTAGGTGCTGGCACGAAAAAGATCCCTCACTGCTCAATAGCCGCAAGTGCCGAGTATGGACAAAATTTGCAGCTCTCCACCGGCAAGTGGTGGCGTCTCCATATGAGTAAAAAATTCTCGAAAGGGACGTTAAACAACATACAAACAACAAAAAAAAGAGAGAATACAGGTAGATGGAAATAACCTGAGCAAGACAGCAACATTTACCTATCTTGGCTGCATAGTAACATCAGATGGGGGTGCGGACAAAGATATAAAGGCCAGACTAAGTAAAGCTAGGGGTGCCTTCATCAGCCTCAAGAGCATCTGGGAAACAAATGACATAAGTAGAAGGACAAAAATAAGAATCTATAACAGCTGCGTTCTATCTATCCTACTCTATAGGGCAGAATGCTGGAGAATGACAGAAGGAGACATATGCAGATTTTCTAGTTTCCATAACGTATGCCACATAAAAATCATGAGGATTTTCTGGCCAAATAAAATTACCAGTGTGGAACTCCATGAGAAAGCAAACACAGACGATATGAGAACTTTATTGACAAAACGGAGATGGCGATGGATAGGGCATGTGTTAAGAAAACCAGTCAACAACATCACCAAAGTAGCCCTTAGATGGACACCAGAAGAGAAGAGGAAACCTGGTCGGCAAAAGAACATCTGGCGAAGGACTGTGGAAAAGGAGATGAGAGAGCACAAACTAACTTGGGGAGAACTGGAAAAAAATGCTCAAGATAGAGAGAAGTGGAAAAATCTAGTCCTTGTCCTATGTGCCCACGGGTATGACAAGGACTAGGTAGGTAGGTACTCGGGAAATATCAAATTTATGGTTCCCCGAGGAGGAAACTATTTCCCGAGGCGGCGCCCTGGGATATAGTTTCCTCCCTCGGGGAACCATAAATTTGATATTTCTCCCATACCCATTCCATAACTGAATAGTATTTTATACTTTGATGCCTACAAAGGAATTGACGCGGTTAATATGAGTAATATTCTTAATCACAAAAGGGTCCAGTCTTGTATTCCACAATATTTCAAGTTGAAAACATAATCTTGTATTTCATACAAATATATGTCGACTTTTGCTTCCAAGCTTTTTAATTGCAAGAAATATTTATAGAGCCTAGATATCGAAAATTCCATCGTGTTCATGTTTTTCTTCACCTTTCAACTATAGTCCTGCTGGACAGGTTATTACTGGTGATGTAAATATAGTTAATGATGAGGACGTTAAATCATGTATTTTAAAAGGGTCAAAATGAATTGGTTTGTATTGTTTGCATGGACTTTTGAGCTTGAATACTGTTTGTTATCTCCATCTATTTTTTAAAAAATATAAAAGAAAAAAAATCAAAAGTAGAAGTACGAATGCTATTAGAAATTGTCCAAGATTAAACGAACACTTAACCTTAATTCGTCAGAAATTTAAAAAAAAAAATGGATACTGACTGGATATGCAGGAGTGTTTGTACGAAAACATAGAAAATGTAGCACTCACAAAATTTGATGAAGAAACATTGAATAAATGAAAAAGAACTATTTATATAAACTCATTGTAAAATTCATTTTCTCGGAATATATTGTTTGTTTGTTTGTTTGTATGTTGTTTAACGTCCCTCTCGAGAATTTTTCACTCATATGGAGACGCCACCACTTGCCGGTGGAGAGCTATACTCGGCACTTGCGGCTATTGAGTAGTGAGGGATCTTTTTCGTGCCAGCACCTACAGCGACACGGGCCCTCGGATTATACGGTCTCATCCGAAGGACCGGTCTCCACGTCCCACAGTGGGATTCGAACCCGCGACGTAAGGATCAACTCCTTACTTCGCGACTCTAGAGCAGACGCTCTAACCACTGCGCCACGCGGGCTCGGAATATATTGAAAAGAAACGCAGGGGAACATATTATGCAAAAAAAAAAAAAAAAAAAAAGACTGCATGGCCGAAAATTACGAAAACTGGTCAGATGGGTATCTTGGTTACTTTGCACTTAAATCAGTGCTCAAAATTTCTCAACCATCAAATTAGCCTGGTTCCCTGTCCCTTATTTGCTTCGTGCATGTACTCCGTGTCACTAGGCAAGGATGAGTCAGGGGACCATGCTACCATGAAATGTATGACTTCATGTAGGAAAAGTGTTTTTAAAAAAAACGGAAAACACGTGCATATTGGTGATGACAAGTTTGTCAACACATCTCGGTGTACCACTTGATGTACTTAAGGTATACACATTGTTTTCAATATTTACACACGATATGAGTTTCTTGCAATCATAATACAGTTGAAGGAAGTTCCATGGGGTCTGGCTTTACATTGCCTAAGTAAGGGAAAAGGCAACAACGGGTTGCTGTGCAGTTTCTTATGAATTTTCCCCGATAAGACGTCTTACCCATCGTCAGAGGGGGGCTTGGAATTAACCTTGACGATGACGTTGACGCGTAACAGAGCCAAGTAAAAATCGGAATATTCATCCTACCATCTCTTTATCGCGGCCTCACTATCACTAAAACTGCTATTAATAAAATAGGCAATCATAATCGTTACATTCAGCCTGAAAACTGAAAGAAATCGTCCGCGCAATTTTGATTTTTGAGCTCGTCAACTTTTCGTTGGTGTAGCTCTCACTAACGCATGCGTGCGTCGTTTGCCTATTTTTTCGGCGTGTTTACCCCCGGCCCAATGTAACAAAGGTTTGTCTAAACTTTTTCGCAAACAATTACATTTATCCACTCGACTGGTCTCCGTAACGCCCATCTTTTTCTCATCGAGAATCTGTGGGACTAAGTGGATGATAGGGTTCAATATGCCCAAGCTGGTCTCTCTCAACTAAGTACTGCCTTGTCGAAAGGGTTGAATAATATCCCTATTAGGAGGATAAACACACTGATGAACTCTATGCAAAGAGAATCAGTCTGTGGCAGATGCACGAAGGAGACACGTGAGATAATGAGAATTTTCAATTTTCAGTTTTGGTAGATACGTCATATGAGTTTCAATAACTCATGAATTATTGGGGAAAATCAAATGAGATTTTGGTAACATTTTCATAAAAGATGACTTTAAATATTAGATAGGAATACTAAGAAATACATATGGAAAAATAATAATACTTCATCTCAAAAGTTTACCCTGCGTTTCTTTTTCCTTTCAGTATATATAATAGACATATGGTATGTTCAAATTTTATTGAGATACAAATTGGTGGACCATTATTTTTAAACTGCATTGTGTACAGATTTTATCCGTTTGTCTGAGGTAATTTTTTTCTCTGTTTAGCGTCCAACCATCTTTTAAAAACCTACCAATCTATTCAAAAAAGCAGACACTTTAAATGAAAATAACCCAAACCCCGGAAAACAGATTTCATCGTAAAAAAAATAATGTCGTTTAAAGGATTTGATTTTATTCACCTATTTTTCTCATAGAGAGATCTATTCCTAACAAAATCAAGTAATTAATTGCTTAATGCTTAACTAATATGACAGATTTTAGAGGAATATAGAAGAAAATGACAGAATTCAAAAGTTTTTACCAAAAAGATTCAATTTCAGGCCTCCTGATTTTGTTTGATGTTTCTTTATCTGGGGTATTAAAAACCAAAGCGCACAAGAACGCTAAACATAGAAAAAACTTGGAATGGCCTGATAAATGACAAGGAGCACACAGCAAATGTGACCGGTTGACATGGAATGTTCTTTGAGGTCCGCATCTGCTCGCTCCTGATTTGTATTGTTTCAATGGACGTTTGAGCTTGATAACTGTTCGTTTTTTCACATTTCATAAAAATGAAAAATAAAGAAGCTGAACAGTACAATAATTTTATTATTTACTCAAGATGAGAATAAAATTAATTTAAGTGACAAATTAATAGAATATTAATTTAAACTAAACATGACTTTAATCGATTACAAATTGTCCACTGATTTGATATATGAAATATCTATTGAAAACTAGAACAGCTGTATTCAACATATTGCATACCATGAGGTATATATAGACAGTTATATATAACACTATCTAAACATTTCGACAAAAGTAGAAAAACACTAGATGATCTAAATATATGTCTAAATATACAATGACATGTTCAAGTTTCAATAAAAAATATTTGCAATAAACTATAAAATAATGCTCGAAAACTGGTATTATATGTATCTTACAGTAAAATTGAATGACCAGCATCTTTGTAATTGTTTTTATTATGTATTTAATAGAGAGAGAGAGAGAGAGAGAGAGAGAGGATATTCAATGTTTTGTAGATGAATATGGAATTTATTTCACGAGTGGGACAGGATTTTTTGATATTTTCATGAGTGCTTCGCACTCGTGAAAATATAAAAAAATCCTGTCCCACTCGTGAAATAAATTCCATATTCATCTACAAAACATTGAATTTTCTGTTTATTACATTTTCTTTGATTTTCCCTTTGCCTCTGTCTTTTCTTAACACAGTGTCATAGGCTTGACGTCATAGTTGAGCGGTTGAGACGTCGATCGTAGCTTAGCAGTTGTGTGATTGAAAACATTACATAGCATGGATTTTAGCAACATATTTGGGAAGAAATTTGCAGTTTTAGCTCTATCAAGATGCTTAGTTACTATCTCTATCTTATGACAGGCCAGAAATTATTTTTGACTTACTTTGATATCCTTTCACACTGTGAGAGAATATCATTTTGGTATACTTTCATACTGTGAGAGAATATCACTTTTATTCAATAAATAAATCACAGTATTTCACCGTTGAAAATGTAATAAATATATATATATATATAATACCAAATCTTTTAACTCTTTTAAAGATTTATTCTAAAAATCTACTTTGATTCAATTGAAAGATCCATTTTTTTAAACAAATGCAATATTATATCATGCATCATATTTACCATTTGATAAACAATATTTCAAGAGAAAAACCAAAAAAGACAATAGGGGACTACAGAAAACGTAAAGATAAAATGTAACTGAGCATTCACACAATTTTGCTGCAACTCTCATTTGATACTAACTTATTTTTCAACCAAACAATTTGCACATTACATCCAGAGTTTAAAATATTGAAGTATGGAATCAAATAATGGATCCTTATCTCTATGAATGTCAAGGATAAACAGCTAAAATTTAATGATTTGTAAAGAATGGCATTCCCTATTCAATGAAATCTCTGAATGATGATGAATATTATTACATTTCTGACTGAAATCATTTCACCTTTGCGATTAAGGAGATGGGTGAACATGACGAGCGATAAGCCTATAGTGTGACAAACATGAAGATGAAAAAATAAATTTCAATTATATCAAAATTTTCCTTGATATTTCGTCTAACATTAAAATATACTTTATGTAAAATCTCTACAATTTGCAAAATCCCTCAAAGAGTAAAATTATTTGCCTGTGAAATATTAGACACACACCAAAGCGAGCAAAAAGAGTCATTTTCTCATACTATAGCACTATTTTTCGATATGAGTGGGTCTTCGCTCCACCTTTTTGAAAGTTAATCCTCAAAGTTTGCATAAAAATATACATTTTTTGGTTACCAAAAATATGGAGCAATGACCCACTATACCTTAAAAATATACTTTTATGACATAACATTCGTATCTTTTCGAGAAATACTTGAAGTCCATTAAGTCAAGGGTCATATCACAAACATGAATTAAATGCCACTCTTCATCAGGACTTGTGTAGTCTAGTGGTTAGCGTGCTAGTCTCGAAAGAAAATGATACTCAGGGTTTTTATTGCTAGGGTTCGAACCCCACGAATACCAATTAATTTTTTTTAATAAAAGAATAGATTTTGCCGAGAAAATTGTCCTCAGAAAAGTTTTGTTTATCATAATTTCTTGAATTTCAATAATGAGACAGTAATAATTGTCAAAATTCACAAACTGAACATGATTTATATATATCTGAAGCTATAGGCTTTCTGCACGCTATGTTCGCCCATCTCCTTTGTAAATGAGAAAGCAACATGCCAATCGGCAACTTAACATGTTTATTGCATGATGTGTTGTACAATTCATATAATTTACAACACCACACACTGAATTAAGACTGATCAAAACAACCTCTCTCTGAAGCAATGCAAATCTTACTGCTTATACATATTAACAAATAAAAATTTTAAGACACCTTAAAAAGAGAGGGTAGAGAAATCTTCGAGGAAATGACGCCCAGTTTATTGCAAATTAAATGACTTCATGCTGTTGCGCTACTTATTGAAGATAATTCTCAGTTATCCTCCCTTCAATCATTATATTGAAAACAGTGTCTTTAAGAAACATTGAGAATTATGTCAGGACATATGCTCTTATTTCCACAATATTTTAATGTACACTATACGGAGTTACTTTTTTCTAAAGAGTATCAACTCTCATCTTTCTTTGATATATTCAGTATTCTTTTCCTCTAAGAAACCTTTTAGGTATTCAAACAAATCTTTGATTTTCTAAACTTATTCAACTGTCACCATGTCCTCTCTAGAAACGACACACCTTCTATGTCTAACCCAGACATCTAAAATAAATCCACCGTCATTATAACCTTGTCCAGAGACACCATTCTCTCTTTTACTGTCTCGCACATTCTTTAATACACTTAACACTAATTTGACACATGCAAAGATTTCAAAAAAAAAGAAAGATCGCTTATCCTAAACTTACTGAACATTCGTCTTGTTTGACCTATATCAGACAGACCATGTTAGAGTAGCACAGAATCATACTCTTTGGACCTTACCCTGACAATAACATCAACCCAACCAGGAGAATAATGTCCTCTCTATAAAATCATCCAACAAAAAATTATGTCCAACAATCAGTGTAAACAAAAAATCAAAGTTTTAATCATCGATACTTAGAACTATTTTGTAAAGATTACAGTCTCAATTTCATTAAAAACTATTCTCTATAGAAGAGTATTTCCTATGTTTATATAATATCATGAGTCCTACAATGTAGAATATCTTTCACAACCGTATATATCCACCATTAGATGTGCAGTAAGGAACTCTTGTAAATGAAAATTATCCCCTGCCTGTAGCAGTTCCTTCAAATATTAAACCTCCAATAAATCTTCTTAACATCTCACCCTTAGCCGCTGTTACCAGTGGAGTAGGTATCTGACTAACCTTGCTGTTTGATATAAGTCTGCGCCTTTAGCAGCTACTCATATGTCCAGCCGACATGATGCTGACAGTGGTGTACTTTGTTTATTGAGACCAGCTCCTGCCCCTAGAAGCTCCTTCACTCCACTCATTTGACCTCCCTTATATGCTGCTGTCAGTGGTGTATCATACTCACCTAGCTGATTGATATCAGCTCCCATTTCTAGTAGCATCTTCACTACACTCATATGTCCACCCTTACATGCTGCTGTCAGCGGTGCATAAAACTCACCTTTTAGATCGATATCAGCTCCCGCTTCTAATAGCTCCTTCACTACACTCATATGTCCACCTTTACATGCTGCTGTCAGTGGTGTATCATACTCACCTTGTTTATTGATATCAGCTCCTGCTTCTAATAGCTCCTTCACTACACTCATATATCCACCTTTACATGCTGCTGTCAGTGGTGTATCATACCCACCTTGTTTATTGATATCAGCTCCTGCTTCTAATAGCTCCTTCACTACACCCATATATCCACCTTTACATGCTGCTGTCAGTGGTGTATCATACCCACCTTGTTTATTAATATCAGCTCCTGCTTCTAATAGCTCCTTCACTACACTCATATGTCCACCTTTACATGCTGCTGTCAGTGGTGTATCATACCCACCTTGTTTATTGATATCAACTCCTGCTTCTAATAGCTCCTTCACTACACTCATATATCCACCCTCACATGCTGCTGTCAATGGTGTATTATACTTACCTTGTTGATTGATATCAGATCCCACTTCTAATAGCTCCTTCACTTGACTAATATGTCCACCTTTACATGCTGCTATCAGTGATGTATGAAACCGATCGGGTTTATTAATATCAGCTCCCGCTTCTAAAAGCTCCTTCACTACATTCATATGTCCACGACCACATGCTGCCGTCAGTGGTGTTTTCAAATGACCTTGTTGATTGATATCAGCTCCTGCTTTTATTAGCTCCTTCACTAAACTTATATGTCCAGTCGTACATGCTGTTGTCAGTGGTAAATTACAGGGACCTTTTTGATTGATATCAGCTCCAGCCTTCAGTAGCTCCTTCACTACACTCATATGCCCATATGCACATGCTGCTGTCAGTGGTGTATCAAACTCATCTTGTTGATTGATATCAGCTCCCGCTTTTATTAGCTCCTTCACAACACTCATATGTTCACCCCTACATGCTGCTGTCAGTGGTGTATCAAAATCACCTTGCTGATTGATATCAGCTCCTGCTTTTATTAGCTCCTTCACTACACTCATATGTCCACCCCTACATGCTACAGTCAGTAGTGTAGTTAACCGACCTTGATTGATATCAGCTTCTGCTTCTAATAGCTCCTTCACTACACTCATATGTCCACCCTCACATGCTGCTGTCAGTGGTTCACCAAATAACATACGTTTGTATTGCAGTTTCTTGTTTGTTTTTAAATCAACATACATATACTTGATTAGTATTCTTACAGTCTCTAAATCTCCACTATAACAACTCAATAAAAGTAAACGGTAATGTTCAGAAACAAACCACCCATTGTCCTGTTTTTGATTTATTAAATCACTAGTGGTGTTCGATAAACATAAATTATTTGTTGTATTATTTGTTTCAATGTTATTTTCTCGCTCTTTTGTTTCATAGCATAACTTGGGACTAAAGGAATTCCAAAATAGTTCAGTCATTGTTTCTTTGTGTAATTCAGTTTGTTTTACAATATATTGTAGAATCTGATTGTGTCCGTAGTAAACTACCCAACTAATAACCCTAACACTGTATGTTGATTTTGTTTCTGTTATAGAATTCTCATTCACCAGCACCCTCTGTCTGTACCACTCCCCTCTCTTCTCCTCACTCTCCTCTGTTACACACTCTCCTTTACTCACTACCTTAGGCACGTCTTTCTGCTCTGACAGAAATAACGACTTCAACTCTGTGTAGGACTTTGTCTTTAACTCCTCAATAAAAGCCTTACATACCTTTGTCTGTTTTAAAACATTATTCATGAAAACATCATACAGTTCCATATTTTCTATATCGCTGTACAAGCGCTTAGCTAACATTGGATACTGACCCTCTCTTAACCTTATACAGAGATCAAATAACTCCATACTCTCACTACCTGATACTTCAAACTCTTCACCACTTGATTTAACATCCTCACTGAATTGATTACTTTCACTCACTAACTCTTTTTCACCTTCTTGTACTTTCACTTTGTTAGCAATATAACTGCTACTGATATATTGCAAAACCAGATCTGGAAACTGACATCCATAATGATAAGCAAGGATTTCAAACACGGAGTCATGGATAAATGTATACTCAGAGCCACAGAGTTTTGTGTATGTACCCTCCATTACTGACAGTACTTTACCAAATTTAAATGCATCCGTGTAACTTTCAACTTCACAACTTTCTAGTACTCTTGATTTCATTTCACAGAAAACTTTGTTCCCCGTGTTTTTCAATATTTCTTTTGATAGTTTATTGCCATTTAACATGCACAAGACCAATGTAGCATAACATAAACTATTTTGCTTTTGCATTTTATCAAATTCTTCTAAAATACATTCAGCTGGACAGGTAAAGAACCTTTCAACATTGTTTCTACATATCTCCTCTTTTGAGTATAGTTTACACAACAGAGGAAACATCGCAGATGCTTCTCTCAGTAATATAGGGGACAACAAATCTTTATCCAAGCCGTGTGTCTGAAGGATTGCTTGCTTATCTTCATCGTTTAATGCATTTTCGGAACTATGCATCTTAATTGTGTTTTCTTCATTTAAGAAAAATGATTTGTAACATTCATTAAACACTACTTCCCTACATGACATTAATACCTTTGTATTTCTATTGAAAGGATCTGAAATTCTTTTTTCATAGTCTATCAATGACTCTAACTTTTGTTTTTGAAGACCTAAAACACCTACTACATCATCAATGACAAAAACCTGTGGATGACGAGAGTCAGAATAATCTTCAATCTTCCTGATATCTTTAATTGGTACAACCTCATACCCTTCCCTCTGGAGTATCAGCGCTATATGATGAATTGTTGCCGATTTTCCGGATCCTGGGACACCCACAAATGTCATGTAAGACTGCTGTCTGACTTTATCCAACATTGCAAGGAAACTGTGACTTTCACTGTAAACCCCATCCTCTTCTTTCCATCGTATGAACTCTTTTTCATAATTATCTATAATGAATTGTTACAGCGAGTTATTTTATAATTTTTTTTATCTTGTCAAAATATAACTACCCGACTTTCATAGTAATTAAACGTTTTACACATGAAAAATAAGCAATTGCTTAACAAAGTATGGTGTACATGCTTGTGGTAATTTTAAGGAAAATGTGAAGTTCGTTACAACACAATAATGATATCGTTACCTGTTTCTCACAAATTAAGAAGTTACCTACCATTTTACACATACTTTGTTGAAAATAATTATTTTGATATCACTTGACCATTAAAATAAACAAAACATAAAGAAATTGTGCTGTACAACGCGTCTGAAAATAAGTTTGCAGGATTGAATTTGAAGAAGAGCTGCAATCCATGGATTTCTGGGAATTTAAAATTTTCTAAATTTGACAATCAATTATAATTTAACCATAGATTATATTGTCACCAAAATTTTCAAAACTTTCTAATTTGAATTGATAAAGCTGATTTACATGTTGAAAATATCTATATTTTCATTTACGATTGCTTTCACCTGAATTATTATTTTTGAACTCATCAACATACCTTTGACATTTGGAGGGATTACAGACTTTGGTTTCTTTATTTCATCTGAAAAAATAAGACGTTTTAGGTGGCACATTTATGAAAATTATTTTCTTTTTATTTGTGGTAAAACTTCACCTTTGCAAAGCTAAACTTCATTATTTTCTTGAAATACAGATAAAATAAAAAAAAAAGATCATTGAATTTACCCAAAAGATATAATCTTGTCAAATGTGAAACAAATACATGTATAAGTAATTTTAATAAACGACAAACTTAATGTATGTTTTTGTTTCAAACTAATGGCAAAATAAAACTTCAATACACTTTTTCCAGGGATTTTGGCCATCATCCACATTCACAATCAAGTTGATATAGATTTTCATTGGACATTTTAACATCTGTACTTTCATTATGGAACATACCATACCAAGCACAATAAAATTGAATGTGACACTGCATTACACAATATATTAATAATATTACATGATATAATTTCGATATTTATCTGTTTATTATGCATTTCTTTAAGTTGTTTTTCCCACACCTATACTACTATAAAATAATTATCGACTCATTTTTTTGTGCTTCAATGCCGCCAAATCAATAGAACTAAATTTAGGTTTGAATGTTATTAACATTGTACCTAACTGATTTTTTTTCAAATCGGAACTTGTTTTTCTCTATTAGGGCTTATTGATTAATACTCAATGAAGATGACTCTAAAAAATCCAGGATTTCTACTGGGATATTTAAATTTTATAATGTCTTCCGCTTTTAGATATAAAACGAATTCGGGCTTTCTGCTTTCCTTCATACGTGTATTATCTTAACAAGTAAAATTACGAGGGGCTTTGTGATTTCTTTCCTTTTTTGGGGGTTGGGGCTGTGGTTGGTTGATTACTTTACCAAATGAATTCAATAACTCTTAAAATCCCGGAGAGCTACAACCCAACCCCTACAGTTCCGAAATTTAAAATGCAATTTTCTCATCAAAGAGTAAACTGAAAACTTGCTTGCAATGATTTTAGTATGCAATATACAACTTGAATTACTCCTCCTCCTTCTAAAAAAAAAATCACAACAAATACCCTCTGGAAAATAATTATTCTTTTGCTTTTCTTTAAATGCTTAAAAAAGATTTACTCCATTGACTTTGAACTTCGATATATCATTGAATGTCTAGTTTTATACATAAGATTCTGAGTTGAGACACACTTCAGTTCATTAAAATTGCAGCAGGGGGATCAAATACTGCACTCATTAACATCATCTATTTATAGCCACTTACCAAGAAATCTAAATTTATGTTCTTTTTACTCTCTAGATTTTACCCTTATTTTACACTGATTTTACACCCTTATTAATGTGTTCAGATTCTTTTATTTTTCTTGTTTTGTAAATTATGATACCCGAGGAGTTCGCAGTAGCTCTGGCGAGGTTTAGTGAGACTTCAGCAAGACTGTTAAGGGATAAGGTGAATCGGTGAATACAAATGTCAGCTAGATGGATTCCCTGGCCAAAGACAAAAGTTTGACACAAGTCTTCATGCGTTTTGAAATCTAAAAGAAACCTTTTTTGGACATTAAATCTTTAAAAGGCGTAAGAGATGCTGCTTGTTCTCCTATCCCTAAAGTGCTGATTTCTTTGCAAAACATTCCGAACGTAGACAGAGTACCTTTTGTTGTACATATGAAGATTTAGTAGATGAAATAGTGTATTATTGATATGTACGTCATTGTATGTTTCATTGACTGGACAGCCACTGCTCAGGAAATCTGTAGAGGTGATATGCTTAGCAGTATTTACTGAATAATAAACGACAGTGGTTTTCTTAAGAAATACAGGAGATAATATTCAGTATAAGTAAATATTACATCGATTCCGCAATGCTCGATACGAGTGGTGTCACAATACCTCATATTAATGACCGGTCGGAAAACCATTTCACGTATCAGACTGGCGTGCAAAAATTCATATCAAACCTGAAGTATCGTTTTAATAACGTTGAAACGTAAATTAATTCATTTTTATTGCAATATATATGTAATACAATTCATGGTCTTAAATTTGCTAAATGGATTAGTTTTATAATATGGCCTACAATTGGCTGTATTACATTTCAAGGAAAAAGATCAAAAGGCACGATATATTCTTTAATGTCTTTAAGTAGACTAGTTTACATAATTAATATTTTCAATATCTGATAAATACCGGTAGAATACTACATACTAAAATTCATGTAATATATTATATCAGCCCTTGGATCTTCGGCCCTTGTGCTGATATGGGGCCACTAATGGAGAGAACTAATGTAGGCCACTTTTGCCTGCTGTTCAATCCATCTTCATTGTATATACTTCTATGTAATATATATCATGTCTTGAATGAAACAATTCTTTTTCTAAACTATGGCTGATATGACACATGATATGCATTTTAGTATGTAATATTTTCTATTTTTTCACCAACCTATTGGGCGACTTTGGAAAAAGAACTCGCTACTAAGCCAATTTTTTTACAAATTTTTACAAAAGCGAAAATTAATTATCTTGTCAGAATTAAACATTCTCCCCCTTTGATTTGACAGCACCCATCAAGCAAGCAGCTTTGAAAAGGTTGGCCGATACGTGAGGGCATTGCTTAACTCTGATGAGAATGAAGGGCAAAAAGAATCTGGTTACTGAATTGAACCATAATATAAACAAAACGTTTTATAAAGTATTTTACGTAGACTTTTGTTATATTTGTTGTATTTGCCTGTTCTTTATTGACATGTTTAAGCAAATACTCAAAGCATTAAATTAAGGTTTGATGACACCTTCCCCAAAAATATTTATTTTTTGCAGGAATTTGCTTTTTCAACAAGTTTCTGTACAAAAAAGAGGAACCTTACCAGGAATTAGTCTAAGATACCAGGTCATCATTTCAATTGTTTATACAACAATTCTTGGTCAGGATTGAAACAAATTTGAATTTGCTCTACATTGGAATGATTGCTTATTTTTCACACTCCTAAGTATCACAAAACAACTATCAATTACTTTAACATCCAAACCTTCTACATAGAAGTAAACTTTTATTTTTTAAAGGACAAAATGATTACTTTAACACAATAGCTTTTAAAATATTAATATATTCAATTTCAAATGGTAAGTTTGAAAGTGAACATTGCAAATGCCAACCAAAACTGATCTACATGCTATGATATAGGGTTATTGAACTTATATTGGTGAATATGGCACGAGTTGGCTGTACAAATGCAAGAGCTTGCCAATATTCATCTAAGTTCAAAAACTCCTTTACTATATAGCTAAAACATCTCCCATTGATTTACATTAATTATTTCAATCAAAAAATTCAAATTGGTAAGATTTTTTCAGTATCGGTATTTAAATTAACATCTCTCCAGTAAGTGTTCAATATCTCATCATTCCAATGACCCTACCTAGTGTTATGATTTGCTTATGGAGGTTTTATTGAGGCTCATACGTTCTAAATTATTAATTAATAATACTGATTATTCTTAATAAGAACTTGTTTTTAAATTGCTCAAATTGATAAGATTTTTTCAGTATCGGTATTTATATTAACGTATGTCCTGTAAGTGTTCCATATCGCTTATAGTATTGATTTTGTATGAATATAAAATATCTTACCTAGCTGCCACTATCTATCATAAATATGTCTTTGAGGATTGACCAGGTGCCATTTTTTGTTTACAATGGGGCGTTCGATATTAGTCTTGACAAAAAAATTAGGGAAAAAAAGTATGTTTGGATTATCAGTTTCGATTCTGAAATTTGAATTCCTAAAAATGGGATTTTTCAGTCGCTCGAATTAGTCTAACAAAACCTGCTCTGCTTTCATTTTTTGTAGTTGTTTTATGCTCAGTGAGATAGTAACACGTTCTATCATATATTTGAACGACAGTAATACATAATAAGAAAAATTGGATGTCGGCCATTGTGACTCGCCATTTTCATAAAGGCCAGCATATTTTTTCAGATTCAGCATACTGGAGATAGGTTAAAAAACTTTGCTGGACCAAATAATAACTATTTGCCGTTAAACCTTATTTCTAGTTTTCTTTTCAAAAATCAGGATCATACTTTATTGAACGCTCTGTTATAACGCACTTTGAAAAATTACGCACTTTGAAAAAAAATTTTAAAGTGAGTTGAATTTGGAACACAGTTAACGAACTTTGAAAAAAAGATATTTCTTTTCAAAGTGCCTTCATATCGACCATATTAACGCACTTGGAAAAGAAATGTGCACAGATTGGTCAATATTCAAGCAAATGCCTAATATTATGTCTATCTTTGCCCCCGGCTCGACACCTATCAAAGTGTGTTGCCACAATGCTCGTTTTTGGAATGTTTCGGACATACTCATGTACGTAATACAAACTCAGTGTTCAATAAAATGCCAAGATATTGAACGCTAAAATTCTCTAGACTTATAGTAGATTTTTATTATAGACTATTTATTAGCTATATAATAATTATCAATATAGAATAACTAACAAATGGACAGATTCCAATTTTGAAATCTTTAAAATTTAAAACAAAGGATAACTGTATTAACGTTGGATTTTCGGTTTTTTCCGTCGCTTCTTTTGCTTTTATATCTTGACCTAATTAATATATTTACTAAAGAAATCTGTCAATTTGGTACCAAAATTTAAATGTTACAATGATTTTAGATTGTGATACAATAAAATTATTCTATGTTTTTTTTTTGTCCTTACTGCATTCCAAATACAGAGAATTTACAATTACCTGTCCTTGATTTAAAATTAGGTATACATGAGAGGTGGAGCTAACATTTTAAGAATGGCTCTAAAATTAGATCAGATAAATAACAATGACATGTATGAAAATATGTGATTACGCTTTCCCATCTCTCCCTTTATTATGTATGGCACAACTACACTATTAACAAAGGTTTCAAAAAAAAATTAACCCAGGGACAATATCAGCATGTACATATAAGAAAAGAATATTTTGAATCAGTTAGCAGAAAACATGCTACCTTACAAGTCAAGTGACGGAATTTAGTATTCTCAGAGTGACCTGAGTTAATCACGTGGGGAATTATAATATTCAACATGTCACAGCCCTTGGTTACAGCATAGAGAGCGAATGTAAGAAGAAGCAGTTTTTTCTCTTTTATATACTAGTAATGAGCACATGTTTGTCTATTAATCTCCTTTTGAGACAACATTTTAATGCAAATATGCAACTACTAAGATGGAGAATAGACAAACATGCGCTGACTATGTATAAAGTCATTAAAAAAAGTGGGCATCCTCATTATCGTATGGAGATTCAAGAAATTGTGATGACCCAGCCTTTGAAAACAGCTACATACTTCGTAAATACATACTTTTTTTAATGTAAATATGTAAAGTTGTAAATTATTAGATTTTTTACTATTCCTGCAATTAAAAGAGAAATGCTTGTTTTGAAAGTTTATTTTGTCGCAATTTTTGCATGTCCTTAAGTGCAGTCACCTTTTGATTTGTCCCTTCAAAGCAGTTCAAAAACTTACTCCAAGTAATGGACTTACCAACAATTTTCAGCATTTCCATTTCACTCTCTTCAAATTTTCCTGGCAGGAAAAAAACATTTTGTTAAGAAAGCATTAACTGCAAAAAAAAAAAAATTAAACAGTATTAAGCTTTATTTCATAGGTTAAATGTCAAACTTAGTCATCATACTTACGTTGCAGGCCTTGAAACATTTCTCTAGTTTTTGCATCTTCTTCAGCCTGTTTCCTCAGTTCTTCTATGTAATGACAGTCACGGACAGGGTCCATTGTCTCATATCTCAAAAAGTCCACCTCTCTTTCAAACTTGTTCCCATTGCTAAGGAAGGAATCAAGGTCCAGAACTGCTGATCTGACAGTTGACCAGATAATATTGAAATCAGCATTAGAAAGGACTGGACTAGAAGAATGTACACAATGATTTCTGGCGATACGAATCCTCTCAATGTTGGCAGAGAGAGATCGATCTGTAGGATCTGGATCATTTCCCCAGCCTTTGCTGTGTGTTGGTATACTACAAATGTTTCTAAGTAGTGTGTACAATAATGGAATGTCCATATCACTGTAGTTACCAGTATAACTACTGCCTCTAGGTAAAATAAGACTCATTTGTGGTGCTGTCAGACGAGGAAGATCACTCCTCTTTCGTTGAATGACGTGTGGGAATGTTAGTAGAGGTACATGGTGAAGTAAAACATCACGTAGTTGATCTGTACATGGACCCAAGAGAAGCCGACAGGCTCTGCAGGCATTTGTCGTCTCTTCTGTAGACGCGTAAGAGGAGGAGGCCATAGCAATCATTTAATGCCTTTCTGAAAGGTGATTACAAAACAATTTTACAATCAACAAAAAAAAGAATAAAATTTTCTTAATAGAACTAATTTAAAAAAAAATCCTTTTGGCAGAGTAACTAGAAATAAGGCTTATGTTAAAATATTTTTCAAGTATTTCTGCTTTCTTGCTTAAATAGCATACAGTTTACTGCATATTCCCTGACTTTTGTCAAAACTTGCAGGTTTGTAACACTACTGGGCAAGAGGAATCTTTGCGCTTAGTATAAAAGCTAAGACTATCCACAGTGCTAGGATTAAAATAGTGTGTTGAAAATAACTATTAAAGCTTTCAAATGTGTTTCAAGTTGCGTATCTTTATGTACACAATGACAAATTAAATCTGCATTCATATGTGACGTTCAGCATGTTCAAGTACTCCTCCAATAAAGTTATTGCTAAAAAAAAATATTATCTTGCATGTATTTCTATTCTCAGTGTCCAAATTACCTTGGGTTAGTGTCAGAACATTTAGTCAAAAGCAACTGTATCTCCTGTATAAAATTCTATTTTTCCTAAAGTTGTGGATGAAATATATGGAGAACAGCATGCACCCAAGCCCAAAAGTCCATTATGCAATACAAAATAGGAGCAGAGCAAACACGGACCTCTAAACATCAGAGGTGGGATCAGGTGCCATGGAGGAGTGAGCATCCCCTGCCGACCGGTCACACCCGCCGTGTGCTCCCTGTCATGATCGGGAAATAACGGAAAAATCCTTCGACAATTCAGTGTGTAAATAATGGCCTAACAATTAGTATGAAAAACGTCAGTCAGCATTTGACTCAATGATAAATTGTATTTGCTGACAAGGTCATTGTATCGACCATAGAACTTACGAAATGATGACTTTAAACGAGACAGCTGATATTCTTGTTTCATCAACTTATTTGTCAATAATTTACCTCGTTTTAGAAATTGTACATACGTGGAGCATGCTCTTGCGTATCGAATCAACTGAGAGACATATACCCCGTATGCAGGTGATGAAGGTATATTGCTGCATAAGTAAGGGAAGTTGACGATTGAAAAGTTAAAGTCATCACGTTTATCATAAAGCTTGGTTGTTAGATTACCATTAACGTCTTTTTCAAGTAAAATATCCAAATATGAAACAGATGTGTCAGATTCTGTGGTATCTTTTATCTCAAGTTCACCAGGATATATCGTATCGACATAAGAATGAAAATAGCCATTGTTAATTGACAATACGTCGTCGATATATCTAAATGTTGAGTTGAAAGCCACAGCAAGTGTTTTCTTCTTTTCATGTACAAGATTTTGGACAAATTCTGCTTCATATGAATACAAAAAAAGGTCTGCTAATAACGGGGCGCAATTGGTACCCATAGGAATTCCAATAGATTGTTGGAAGACCTGCTCTCCAAAAACCACACAGATATTGTCAATCAGAAACTCAAGCATCTTTTTAATGTCAACTTCAGAGTACTTGTGTGTACAATCAGAATGCTTTTTAACAAAATAATTTTGCAAATGACCAATGACAAGGTAAGTATATTAACGAGTTCCATTTTTATTGAAAAAGCAGCTGTCAATGATATCAAAAAGCCTGGACTTTAATTTATCGTGGGGAATGGTTGTATATAAAGTTGAAAAGTCGTAAGTTTTTAAGCTGTTGATTTTGGTAAAATCTTGTGATTTCAAATTTTCCAAAAGTTCCTTGGAATTTTTAAGTATCCACATCTGATTTACACCACTTCTCGAATATATTGTTGCACAGTACTCTTGAAGTTTCTCCTTCACCACTGTTATTATCTTAGTGAGGAGTAAGATAGAGGCTTGGTTGAACATTTACTGGAACCCGCTATGTATCTTTGTTTGTAAGGATTTTTATGAAGTTTCGGAATCCAATATAAATATGGTAATTCAAATTCATTTTGGTTGTTTGGAATATTAAAAATATTCAAAACTGACATATGATTTTGAAGAATTTCTTCCTTAGAAAGGGAACTATGAGTATAAGTTGGATTACCACTTGTAGAATTAAATCCAAGTTCCTCTAAAATACATTTAATATAATGAGCCTTACAAACAAAGACAATGTTGTTACCTGCTTTGTCAGCAGGGAACAGTACGTACTGATCATGTTAGCTATCTAATTCTTTTTTCACTTCTGGATTATTGAATACAGAAGGATAGATGGTTTTCATATTGCCTCTCAATCTTTTAATGCGCGATTTTAACATACATCTGATACATTTAATCCATTCTGACAAAGTGTCAAGGTCTTTTTCATGTCTGGCCCATCGCCTGGCGTAGTCCTCTACAGAATCCATAATATTTATGAAATTCTTACGCCAGTTGAAGGATCTGGGTTCCCTAAATTTAGGATCTTTTAAAATTAGTGATCTAAGGTCCTCATTATTAACTATATTTACGTCACCAGTAATAACGTGTCCAGCAGGACTATAGTTATAGGGTGAAGAAGAACATGAACACGATGGAGGATTATGTTTCAGATATTCAATATCCAGGCCCTGTAAAGTTTTCTTGTAATTAAAAAGTTTGGAAGCAATAGTCGATGTATATTTGTAGGAAATACAAGGTGTAGTCTTTAACTTGAAATATGGTGGAATACAAGACTGGACTGGATATAGAATTCAATAATTTAAACTCTGTAGCTAGAACCTTGACAAAGATTATCCTACAGTAGGCTCCAGGCACACTTCTGGACATAAGGTAACTTCTATTAGGTAAGAATTTCAAGTTTCTCAGTTACCAGAATTTCATATCTCTTATTCCTGTCAAAGAAGTTATGTACAATGAATCCTTTAAGAATGATAGAGGGCCCGTGAGAGCAAAGCTCTCCCTAGGGCTGGGACGATACAACTTTTTCTATATCGATACGTATCACGATATTTGAGCCACGATATGATACGTATCACGATATGTTGAATTGGTTATAAAATCTATTTTTTGTATTGAAATGAACAAAACATTTCTTCACAAATAAGAATAGTTTATTGAAAGAAGTTGTTTATCTGTTTTAAAACAAAATTATTTTACACAAGTGGTGTTAATCATTATGTATTTCATATTTATATTCATATTTAGCATATTTCTTTTATATATTAAACCCAAAATGTTAAATAAACACAGAAAAACGTAAGTCAGAATTTTTTTTGCGATATTTCGATATTTCTTCATATATATCGATATGAGTATCGTCTTCACACAGAATTGATATTATCGATATCTCGATATATCGTCCCAGCCCTAGCTCTCCCTATAGGTAACACGTACGTATGTAAAATATATTGAATTCTATTGAAAACTATATTTTTATTACTGTAACAATACCTATGGAACTGAGAACTTGTCGCCAATATGGCATCCTTAGTCTTTTCCATTTTGAATCTCGCGACAAATTCCCACATATCGAGATACTGGTGATTCGTAATTTTAATTCCAATCCTGCGTTAATTAAGTTTTATCAATTTCAATGATCAAAAACACCCTTATAGTGCACATCCTTGTTACTTTCGTTTTCAACTAACTTTCAATCGTTCATCATAGACCCAACATGTGACGTCATTCATTGACTGAATCAGCGGAAACTGTCGACTTTTCAGGAACTTGTAATAATTGATATTTCATATGCGTGCTCTCTTTTTAAGACAGAATTATTCAACTTTTAATAAACCACACTATGTTTTTGGAGAGAGAAAAAACTCGGTTTAATGAATTTCAGTGACGTCACTGTCTAGACTGCGTACTATGCACTATGGAGGGGCGGATCTTTATTCTCAACACACAACTAGCTAGAAATATAGGATTTTTATGTGACATAGTATAAACTTACTTCTTGAACAATTAAAAAAAATGTTTTAGTGGTAAAATATTTCGTGAAAAGCTTTACTGAATTCTGGTAAAAAAAAAAGGGGGGGTTTATGGATTTTTTTTTACCTGAATCTCACCATCAAAAGAGAAATCATTTAAAGTCATATATGGCATATTTTTTTATAAGTTCAGACTAAATAAAATTAAAATTATCTTTCTATTTGTTTTATTACTTTATATAAAGATAGGACTTTCCTGTAAAATACACAATTTAAATCAATCGCGTTTCAAAGATATTAAAAATTAAAAACAATAACCGATTTATTTACCACTCCGCATTTAATTAACAGACTGTTTAAAATCATTTTAACTACGGAAACATGAGATTATTCAAGTTCAAATTCAGTGAAAATTTTAATTTGAATGTAAATAACATGTATCATGTTTATCTACACTTAATCTCGTTTTTTTTATTTTTTAGCTCACATATGGCATATATAGCTTTATCATGTATTTTAAAAACATAGAACAGAAAATTTTTTCAGCCAAATAGAATAACGTATAAAGTCCAAAATCATATGAGAAATCTAAATTAAACAATGTATGATGGACAGAGAGGTAGCCGTTCAGTCTACATGTAACAGTAAATAGATATACACAAACGTAATACGTGACTTCAATGTTGCAGCAATGTAAAGTGCATACTATAAATGTATATAATTATACCTGTACAGTGCTGCAATACACATGACATGCATATTAATAAAGTTTTCTAAGCTTATAAATGTTCGCTTGACTTAAATAAAAAACAACAGCAAATACAGAATTATTGTGTAGTGGATAGGGATGTTGCAAAACATCAATTACTGTGATGCAGAGGGGGTCGATACAATGATAAATGTTCTATTCAATACCTCCCAGAAGTGTACCCCATTATTCACAAGTTTTGGTTTTAAAATTGTAGTATTCACATAAACCATTTGCAAAAATTTTAATATATAATATGGAAAAGAAATTAACTTTTATTGAGTTACTCGTAAATTTGGGGAGGTTTTCCAGATATTAAAAAGAATTTTTTTTATCGTGCTTTTATGTTAGTTTTAGAAAGCACAAAAGACTATTTGAATCAGATTTGTTTTAGCATAAAAAGTTGAAATGGTGAAATCTACATTTTTCCATTAAAATTAAGAAAATAATTCATGGGTAACCGAATTACTGTAAAAAAAAAAAGATGTATCATATCAGGGACTTATAGATATGTATCCCTGATCATACACACATTGCGATATTTTTCTCAGAAATTTTGCCATCCTGATACTATACATAGCCCAATAGTGTTGGTCACATGATCAGTTTCCAAGTGTCTTGATAACCCAGGAGGAAGATCAGGCTCTAATTGGCGACTAATTTAGTTGCCATGGCCCCTAAAGATTTTAATTGGCGCCTAAAATTTCTCAATAAGTCGCCAAATTGGCGACCATTTTAAATTGACTTGGTGATCATCAAATTACTGAACATACTACTGAACTACTGAACATTTTTAACACTTTTTTATAAAGAGCAGAAAAGAAGTATAAAGTTAGCAATTGACATGTTTCCATATATTGACTAATATAAGTTTTTAAATTGGCACCTAAGAAAAATTTGCCTGGCAGCTAAAAATTTGTAATGGCGACTAAATTTTTTTATTTAGGAGCCAACTGGCGACTAAATTTTTTAGGTCTTTTAGAGGCCTGCTGTAGTTTTGGTCCCAATTCTGTCTTCTGATCTGGTTCCTGACAATATTATCCTTATACTTGTATTTGATGTCATGATCATGTACTGAGAGTAGCAGATGAGAATTAAATGACTTGATGTTTCTAGATTGGTGACTTTATATGTGCTTGTAGTCCTGAAAGATAAAGAAATGATGACTAACTAAGTCTGTTTATTATTGTTGGACAGATACATAGGCAGTGGGTAGGTTGAATCCTTGACTGGTCCAGTGCATGCTCTTTCTTTCCCTGTTATGCGATTTGTTGATCTTGAGTGCTCTGGCTTGGCAACTTATGATGAAATATCTTAGTAAAAAAAATTTTTTTCAGATTTATAAAACAAATTTGAATGAAAAGTATTTGAGGTAAGAGAAGGGATTCTTTTCAAAAGGACTGAGGTTGTTTTTATGATTTTCCCACACTGACTACACGGTGAGTACACCGACTGATTTATCATTAAACAATAAAATGTAGATTGAAATGTTCTTCTGATGGCTCCGCACTCACTAACGGTGGCACCGTCTAACATATTAAATAATACTTTTTTTTTTAATTTTGACACTTTAATTCTGAAAAATACCTTGTGCTCAAATTCAAAGGATGTACTCAGAGGGTTCCCTACCATTTGAAACTGGGTCCAGGGTCCGTATAATTGGAAAAATTAACACGATTTTCTTTTTCAAATTGTGAAAATTATATTATATGTAACAGAATTAAAAGTGGCTATGCGTTGTAAATAGTGAGGCCACGCTCCTACTAGCACTAGCTAGTGGGTTAACCCTTTAGCTCAGTCGGTAGAGCATTGGATTTTAAATCTGAGGGTTGTAGGTTCGAGCCACAGTGTGGACACCCCTAGCTAATCAGTCATATTGGCGCCCAACTACAAAACCCACATGGTGAGTGGTGTTTATAGAGTCTCATGTGTGAGATTTCTCCGGGTAAGAAATCTCAAGAAAAAGAAGGGGGAAGTGTAACAGAGTTAAAAGTGGCTATGCGTTGTAAATAGTGAGGCCACGCTCCTACTAGCACTAGCTAGTGGGTTAACCCTTTAGCTCAGTCGGTAGAGCGTTGGATTTTAAATCTGAGGGTTGTAGGTTCGAGCCACAGTGTGGACTCCCCTAGCTAATCGGTCATATATAAAAGGACTAATTTCGTGATTTTTTCAAAATAGATGAACATGAAAGAATTTCTAAAAAAAAGATTGCGTTACCATAGAGAGTAAAATCATTTCCAAACTGATCATGTAAACTGATTGTTGTCCGTGTTTTTCAAAATTGTAAGTAACTTTAAACATATTAAATGAATCCTCCAATCGTAAACCACCATTGTTTATCAAAAACAAAAGTAGACTTTTAAGTTTACGATTCATATTGTTAATCGACATCGTCTTATTCCTAACGTAATTATGAACCCTCTTACAGGTAGTTTATTTAAAATTTATGTCAACTGTTTGTTGTCAGGGTTTTCGAGATTGAAACTAACTTAAATCGTCCAATCGTAAACTACCGTTGTTCATCGAAAACGAAAGTAGACTTTTAAGTTTACGATAATTACGATTCAAATTAACCGACATCATTTAATATTAACGTAATTATGAACCCTCTTGTAGGCAGTTTATTTGCAAAATGTATTAATTTATCGGTATTACGTTCATCTGTTACGTTAAGTGCCTGTGCGTGAAAACGAAAGTTCGCCACTATGCGCTTTGTTTTCATTTTCTTTGTATTTCTGATTCTTATAGGCTTACCTGGTATTCTGAAATACTCTAGGGCTATTCCGAATGATAAAGATGCAAATGTTTGTAGCCTATATTCCGAGCTTTTAATCGGGAGACACACCAAACACGGCTTCTTTTTACTTCATTATCATCAGTTCATTGGGTTTTCCAAGCTCAAAGCGGTTGCCAGAGATTTCGGCCTTCAGACAATTCACCCCCTTTCCATATATGTTCAGTTTCTATAGGTCTCATATCCTAAAGACCTTTCTATAGGTCTCATATCCTAAAGACCTTTCTATCTTTCGGGTACTACATGTACAATACAGAGTACGCTTTGGTAAATTAGAGCACTTTAGGCTTGTAATAACATTAATGATATTTTAATTCTCGAAACTATTTAGCGTCGTGAAATCCATTCTAAAGTCAAACCATGGGGGGGGGGGGGGGGGGGGGCAGAGAAATCAACCCTAACCCTAACTCTTAACAGTTATAAGACTAACGAATTCTTTGACAATCAAAAATAAAAATAAATAAATAAAAGCAACTTCCTAAATGCTGAAAACCTATCGTGTTAGGTGGGGTGGCGTGGTAGGTATTGTAGGAGAAGACACTGTCCTTAGCCTATTTTCTTCAGATACATGACTCTTCTTACCATTTTAAAAGTGGTCTATATTTCCATGAGGTGGAGTGGGGAGGGAGTCGAAGGTCATTTCTTCGTTAAAATGATTATACATATTTACGTTTTTTTCTCTGAAGATCCCAGCCCCCCCCCCCCCCCATGATCCTCGTATACCATGGAAGAATTGTTACAAATAAAACATTTAAAGTATTAGGGTTGGGGGGTACATACTGGCAGCCTATCTCCAGAACCAGTTGTTTAGTTCTGCCGTTGAACATGTTGAAGAGAAAACTAAGAAGTGGGTATAATTCGTGCAATCGCATCCTTCCATAGTACTTTTGATAACTGTGTTCTGATTGGTCAAGTTGACCATAGGATATTTGATATTTGTTGCTTTTTATTTTTGGGTCTAGCTAGAGTATTTAAAGCTGTGTTCGATCAGTTTACTTTACTTGGTTAGGGTTAAGCCTCATGGCTCATTATCTCTTAATTAATGCCAACCTCAAGGTACACGTCATTCAAGGTTCATTTAGCACGTGCTGAGCGGGTACCTTCTGATTAGTGAGGATGTTATAACTAATTAGGGTTTTATAAATAACTTAGGTTCCCTTAGCCAAGTCCAGACTGGTTTAAGGAGATGTAGATAACAGGTCTAATTTCTGGAACCATTATTCACTATCTACTATTATTAATTTTGACCCTTCACATTTTTGGTGTTGGTTTATTTTCTGGGTTATTTATTTTTAGTAGTAGTCCAGATTTAGTGCCATTTTTCATAGTTCAACTCTAGAGTGTTGATTGATATAGTTTATATATGGCGATGTAGCTCATTTTCCTTACATTTTCCAACTCATTGTCATTTTCAGTTGTGTTTATTTATAGAGTAGGATTTTTGAAAGGAAAGCAAGAAATAAACAGAGAAACCAGTGCTCACCAAAGCCAAAATGAAAACTTAGAAACCATTCAAACTAAACTGCAAGAAAGTAATAAGTACCATAAAATTATCATACTTGAAGTTAATTAGAATGCTTATTTTAAGTTCAATATGAAATCTATTATGAACATTGTCGCAGTAAGATTAAAAATGTTATAAAGGCATATGTAACAATGCGAATTACGAAAGTTTCATTAGTAATGACTAACTATAACACACTGACAACTTTAACAATCAAACATCAACTTGCAAGGAATTAAACTCCAGAATTTATGATCACAATACTATTCTTATCTCTGTATCTCTAAAAGGCTGTAGCCTACACATCATTTTCTCAGGGATAAAAATTGGGCTGAAAAAAGGGAGAAAAGTTGATAATAAATCTTATCTATTAATTTTATTTTGTTGCAAATTATTCTTGATAATCAGCACTTTTATACTAATACCTACAATTTTACTATATATGTAAAGACAAAGCTATTCCTATAACTGGAAATAAAAATTAAGCCGAAATTCAAGTGTTATATTATGTCTGTATCAGACAATTTCAAAACAATCGATAGCAACAGAAGTCCATGATTGTAGTGCTGAAAATGAAATTAATTACTGGAAATATTTTTGGTTAGAAGGAAAATAAACCTATTGTTCGTATTTGGATTATTTAGTAAGGAAGTATCCATATTTTTAAGCAGAGTATAAGAATATGTTAAGAGATCTCAGTTTTGTTAAGTGGTTTTCATATCATGATATCAATTGAAAGTATGTTTACAATATTTTTTCACTGGTCAAATGACAATCGTAGATGTCTTTGAGTTCGCAAAAATGTTCCCTCCGAACTCCCCTCCATCCCTATCGAAAGGGGGCTACCCACTCTTTGCATACCCACACTTTGCATCTCAAGTCAAATCTGTGACTTTACACTAGCCTACACATTAGAAGAAAATAATATGCGCCACTGACGTGTATCAACAACAAGAATTGGATAGATATAAATAACATACCCAGAAAAAAGACAACATAAGATAGAAAACATTTTCTTATTCAATGTAGCAAATTAACAAATGAAAAAGAGGGACTAATTAACTTTTTACATGTAGAATTTCATATAAAGTAAAACATATAAGAATTTGCATGATATAAAACAAAATTATTCTGGGTATTAAATTTTGAAGAATTAGATATACTAAACTCTCTTGGCAGATTCTTACAAAAAACCTCTTCATAAGTTAAATTGCAGGTATTTGAAATGTATCATGATGAATTTTATAAAAGTATGTGCATGCATTTGTGTGTGAGAGTAAATATAAAATCTAATTATAATAGAATAGAATGGAATAGCTTTATTTGCTAATCATGATCCCACTGGGGGCATAACAAAGGGTTATACTTCTTTAACATTCAAGAGGACAAAATAAAAACTCGTTAACAATTAATTAACAGCAATACAAAACATTAAAAATCCTATTCATTAAACCTAGATAAGAGGTGATGAGTAATAGATCCTAATTTACAATAAATATCAATGGACAGTCCTGTAGGATATACTTATCTCAGCATCTACAACTGTCCTGGCAGCATTACTTCTCATATTGATGTGGATCAGCTATTCAATAATGCATGTATCATATAAAAATATGAAAAAAATAATTAAAACAAGTAATAATTAAAACATGTAAGTAAAATTAAATAAATGTTAAAGTAAAGTATAGTGTAAATAGATTATAACGTCGTCGATTTATCTAAATGTCGAATGGCATGAGAATTCTTCTTTTCATATAATTTTTGTTTAAATGAATTCTGATTCAAAAGAATCCAAAACAGGTCTGCTAATATTGGGACACAATAAGATCCCTGTGGAATTCCAGCAGGTTTTTGGAAGCCCTGGTCTCCAAAGATTTCAGAGATATTGTCCATAAAAATTTCATCAAGCATCTATTGAATATCAACCTTGGGTACTTGTATGTAGAATCATTATGTTTTTAAAAGAAAATGCATTTGCAAGTGATCAATGACAAGGTTTGTAAAATACGAAGTTCCATTTTATTGTAGAAACAGTTGTCTATGATGTCAAATCTTGTTTTTAATTTTTTCTTAGGAAATGGTTGTATAAAGTGTTGAAAAGTCGTACGTTCCTATGCTACTGTATTGTTAAAATATTATGATCTCAAATTTTAAATAAGTTCCTTTAGTTTTTGAGAATCCACATCTGTTTAACATTACTTCTCCAATTAATATGGTGTTGTTCAGTACCCCGTGAAGTTTCACCTTTACAGATGTTTATATTTTCGTGAGGAATAAAAGAATAGGCTTGATAGAATATCACAGAAGCCGCTATATATCTTTGTTTGTATGGATTTTTATGAAGATTTGAAATCTAGTAAATGTATGGCATTTCAAATTCAATACGGTGGTTAGGAATATTAAAAATATTTAAAACTCACATATCCCCCCCCCCCTCCCAATTTCATCCTTATAAAAGGAAAGTATAAGGTGAATTTCTCTTTGTAGAATTAAATCCAAACTCCTCTAAATTTTCATAATGAGCATTGCAAACAAATATTTTATTGTTATCTGCTTTGTCAGCTGGGACCAGTACATATTGATCATGTGATCTATCAAACTCCTAATTAAATTCTTCTAAATAACTGAAGACAAAAGGAAAATGATTTTCTTATTACCCCTCAGTCTTTTAAACGAGACTTCAGCAGCCAACGTAATTTAATTTTAATTTTAAAAAGTTCTAAAAAACTTTTAAGTTCTTTTTCATATATTTGCTTATTTGCAATTGCGCCTCGTTATTAGCAGACCTTTTTTTTTGTATTCATATGAAGCAGAATTTGTCCAAAATCTTGTACGTGAAAAGAAGAAAACACTTGCTGTGGCCTTCAACTCGACATTTAGATATATCGACGACGTATTGTCAATGAACAATGGCTATTTCCATTCTTATCTCAAAACGATGTATCCCGGTGAGCTTGAGATAAAAGATACCAAAGAGTCTGACACATCTGTTTCATATTTGTATATTTTACTTCAAAAAGACGTTATTGGTAATCTAACAACCCAGCTTTATGATAAACGTGATGACTTTAACTTTTTAATCGTCAACTTTCCTTACTTATGCAGCAATATACCTTCATCACCTGCATACGGGGTATATATCTCTCAGTTGATTCGATACGCAAGAGCATGCTCTATGTATGTACAATTTCTAAAACGAGGTAAATTATTGACAAACAAGTTGATGAAACAAGAATATCAGCTGTCTCGTTTAAAGTCATCATCTCGTAAGTTCTATGGTCGATACAATGACCTTGTCAGCAAATACAATTTATCATTGAGTCAAATGCTGACTGACATTTTTTATACTAATTGTTAGGCCATTATTTACACACTGATTTGTAGACGGATTTTTCCCGATCATGACAAGGAACCTCGGCGGGTGTGACCGGTCGGCAGGGGATGCTCACTCCTCCATGGCACCTTACCCCACCTCTGATGTTTGGAGGTCCGTGTTTGCTCTGCTCCTATTTTGTATTGTTTAACGGACTTTTGA